GTTGACTACATAAAATCATTATATTATATTATATTACAATGTCAGAATTTCTTGTGTAGGGTATTTATAAAACACAAATTGCAGAGCTATTTATTCTATGAAACGGCATGCATATTTGGTCTGTTCAAATGGATGCAATACGGAACGTTACCAGTATATTTTCTTTCCAGGTCAAAAGTAATATCAGGAAGATCTGTAAATAATAAGTCAAGGCAACTGGACTCGCTGTATTTTTCTTGAAGACGTTTCACTGGTCCAGCGTTCACAATTCAGAATGAATCTCTGGGAAAACATTATCTGGTAATAAATATGGTGAATGTCACTCCAATCCACATAATCTGTTAGTCGCAACCAGGTGTTGATTGTATTTGCATAATTGGAGTCTAGGAGGTGTTATTAACCTCCTAGACTCCTAGGGAGGTGTTAAAACAGCATTGTATGTAGCAGAAAATAGTTCCCCACCTCTATTCAAGGTTGGCTTCTCCATTTTTACATAAATAGCCTCATTCACACCTCTTGGTGTGACTGGTTTAAAAGAGGTGTGAAAGAGGCCATTTATGTAAAAATGGAGAAGCCGAGCTTGAATAGAGGGGAGGTGGGGGGAGGAGACAACTATTGTCTGCTACATACAATGCTGTTTTAACACCTCTCTCTGAGCAGGTTAATAACACCTCCTAGACTCCAATTATGCAAATGAAATCAACACCTAGTTGCGACTAACAGATTATGTGGATTGGAGTGACATTCACCATATTTAAGGGAGGTTGGGCTTCCTCCTGACAAACCAGCACCCAATTTTATCTTCTGCCCCATGTGCTCCAAGATGGAGGTTCTGATAGTTTAGAGTTAGGACCGCACTATAAGAGGTGCCTTGGCGCGGCTGTGCGGCTTTCACATTTTCTGCAAAAGACGTGTATCCAAACCTCTGTTATTAACCTTAGCGTGAGACAAGTTTTTTTTACATGCTGGCTTGTGAGTGTGCCGGGAAAACTTGTTACTATTTTACTGTTTAAAGCCCTTCCGTGTGCACCTTACTGTAAAGCTGGTGACGAATTGATGAGTGTGTTTGTCATCTGTTTTGATTCACCATATTTATTCCCAGATAATTTTTTGTACAAGTCATTCTGAATTGAGAAAGCTGGTCGGATGTCCAGTGAATCGTCTTCAAGAAAAAATACAGCAAGTTTAGTTGCTTATATACCATGTGACCTGGATGAATGAGAACTTTCACAGACACCTAACTAGAGTGATTAAGAAATGAAGAATCTCCTTGCAAAATCAATGTTGGGCTAAAATCGGTCCGCTTCTCTCTAGCGTGATGTTAGGTATTGAAAAATAATACTAACGAAAACAAATATTTCTTCTTTAGAAAAGCATAGATGAACTGCTGGAAATATATATAGAAAGAAAACTTTTAATGAGAGAACTAGGATGGCTGCCATTGTTCTTCTTTTCTTCTGAAAATACTAGTTGCCGGGTTATCACGAGGATCCTGTGCCTTCCATACATCCTAACATGGAGGAAGTATGCTGAGCAGAGATTTTTTTTTAATTGTTGCAAATTGACTTGCTGCATGCTTGTTCTGCCTTACTGACTCAAAAGGCAATGCAGCTAAAGTCAGCAAGATGACCCGTTTTTTTTAAAAGGAGGTTGGCTATGAAAACCTTCGTATTTCTCTCAGCATCAGTTCCTTTAAAAATATCCATATCTGTAATTTCTTATCTACAGTGGAAGAACTCAATGGCTCTGGGAAACAACACCCAAGTGACCGTGTTCGTGTTTTCTGGACTGACCGATAATGATAAACTAGTCCCGCCCCTCTTTGCCTTTTTCTTCATGGTGTACCTCGTGACCGTACTCGGAAACATCGGCTTAATTATTCTTGTCCTTGTTGCCTCCAACCTCCACACTCCAATGTATTACTTCTTGAGTTACCTCTCAGCGGTGGACCTCTTCTACTCTACAGCTATAACTCCTAAAATGTTGTCCGATCTTCTATCCCTCAGGAAGACCATATCCTTTCATGGTTGTGCCATCCAATTCTTCTTGTTTGCTGCCATGGCAGGAACTGAGATTCTCCTACTTTCCAGTATGTCGTACGACCGCTACGCTGCTATCTGCCACCCCCTTCACTATGTTTCCATCATGACCAAAAGCAAATGTGTGTCTCTGGTCAGTCTGTCATTCTCTGTCGGCTTCTTTCAGTCCGTTGTGCAGACCTGCTGCTTGTTCGGTCTCCATTACTGTGGCCCGAACGTTATAGACCATTTCTACTGTGACGTCCTTCCTATACTCCGGTTGTCTTGCTCCAAAACACTTCTCTGCAACATCATAACTGTTCTCTCTGTTGGCTCTTGTGGTGTTTGTTCGCTGTCGGCAATCTTGGCCTCATACGCTCTCATCTTTACCACCATATTAGGTATAAAGTCTTCTGAGGTACGACAGAAAGCTTTCAGCACGTGTTCTTCTCATCTCATGTGTGCCAGCGTCCTCTATGTTGCAGCTTTCGTCACTTATTTTCGCTCACCTTCCAGTGCCCTGGACAAACGAGACAAAGTGGCCTCTGTCTTCTACTCAGTAATGACCCCAATGATGAACCCCCTTATCTACAGCCTAAGGAACCAGGAGGTTAAAAGGGCCTTCATGCATGTTATACATAATATTTTACATGTAAGTAGAATTTTTTAAAATATTTAGGGATAAATTATGCCTTTTGCTGGGCTTGGATAGCATGGGAAAAAGTTAGAACCACTGTCAGATTTTCACTGAGGTAAATCTTCCAATTGTGACGCCTGTTGTAATGACAACTGACTGTCCAGGAGTGGATTTCCCTTAAAAATACAAAGTAGAAATAAAAAGGGCTAAAATTAATCAAATGAAATAAAACAATTTTCAATGTAAGAATCGTGTTTTTATTAATAGTTGTCACTATTTGGGTTTAGAAGAAATAAATAACAAAATAAAATAATGTATTATTGCAGTAAGATCTCATTAAATAAATTACTGTTGTGCATTGGTAAAAATTATTATGCAATAATAGGATTATTATGTGAGAAAAAAAATAGATAATTAGACTCATGTGATTGTTATTTATTTATGTTCATAGTGGTTGTTTTTTTGCATGTAATATTTATTGAGATTTCAAAACAAATACAGTTAAAACACAATTAGTGTTGTTTTTATATATCATTAACTTGACGCGTTACAATATAAAATAATTTATATTAGCACAAAGTTTGCATGGTTCACGATGAATAAAATACAATAAAAAAATGTATTGCAGGTAAGAGTTCTTGTAATCCAATAACCTCATATTAATATTTACATAATGGTTATTTTTATATATCATTTCCAAATTACATAAGAGGTCTTATAATCCAATAATGGCATAGTAATACTTACATAGTGGTTGTTTATATATCATTACCTTAGACATGATATCATATTTATTAGCACAAAATTTGTATTATTATTATTATTATTATATAGGATTTATAGAGCGCCAACAGTTTGCACAGCGCTTTACAATATAAGGAAGACATTACAATCACAATACAAATCAAGACAAGATGGTAAGGAGGGCCCTGCCCCTGAGGACTTACAATCTAAGAGGGAGGGGCAAGTGATACATGAGGAGGTGGCTGTGAGGGGATGAATTGTTTGAGAATGTGATGGTTGTATAATTCACGATGAATAAAATAAAAATGAATTGTACATATCTTCTTATTATAATATAATCCAATAATTACATTATTTCAATTGTATAATTTATAGCATAAAGGGTAAACTTAAAATTGCTGATAAAATAATTTATTTATGTATTTATGCTTTTGAAATGATATGTCCTTGAGCTGGAAAAAGTCCAGCGGAGGGCAACCAAACCTATTAAGGGGTTCGAGGACCTGAACTATGAAACAAGGTTGTTAAAATTAAATATGTTCTCTTTGGAGGTTAGGAGATTAAGGGGGGACATGATTTTCATATATAAACTGTTCAATGGTGACAGCAACATTATTAACAAACTCTTCATGGTCAGCTCCGTAACAAAGACAAGAGGGCACCACCAAAAATTGGTGGGAAAAAAATTTCAACATACAGGGTGCAAGGGTTTCTTCACAGTTAGAACGGTTAGGGTCTGGAACTCGCTGCCGCAGGAAGTGATTTCAGCTAAGAGATGTGCGGGATTCCGTCAATACGCATTCCAGCCGGTGAACATTTGGAAAGAGTATAGAGTGATAGCTCAGAGAAATTTGGGGCTGATTGCAGGGAGAAGGTATGTTTTGAGAGGTGGCTACTTAGTATAAGAAATTAAAGGGGACATTGCTATTTAGTGTCAGAAATATAAGGGAGAGGATACAATTAAAGGGTTTCTAAACCCTCACGTTTTTATATATATATATATATATATATATATTTTTGTATAGATTGGGTTAAGTGAGATTTACATGATTTAATCAGGCACATAAATATTTAACTAATATACAGCACTAATGTCTGCAGTGAGAACATCATGAACAGAAGATACAATGAAAAATATATATATGATACAAGATGGATTGAGTGGGAGATGTCCATAATCTTAGTACAAAAATATAAAACAATAAATTGTTCAATACACTTTGTTAATAATTGATGAATATACAATAAATCAATCCTACTGCAAGCATAATGAAACAATAAAGGACTCAATACATTATGTTAATAGTTATTTAATGTATAAATATAGACAATAAATCAATCCCAGTACAAGCGATATGAAACAGAATAGAAAGTAAATGGCTGTGGACGTTGAACCATAAAGGAAGGAAGACATCCGTCACATGACAATAACTCATTATATTGAACAGTCAAATTGTCATGTCCATCAGTGCGTTGTAAAAATAAAACATGTCGGTGAAAGGAAAGAAGAAGCACTTTGGTCTTATTATTTCTGCCTTGTGAATAAGGAATGGCTGTGATAGGATTTTCCGGGTTTCTTTGTAGCTTGCTTGATTTATTCTTCTGTAATCTTTATGATTTCATAAAGGAATCCGGGTGGAGAGCTGTTAATGTGAACGTGCAGGAAGACTCTCATATGCTTCATCTTCTGTATTTAATTATTGTGGCAGTGCGTGGCAATGCCACTGTGTTATCTCCATTCATGTGTCCATATTTTGATAGTGTCCATATTTTGATAGTGGCCAGTGCGTGCTGATGGCACAGGTGTGCGCAGCCTTTAAAATAAAGGTGTTGGGAAGGGTTCAAGGCTCCACCTGGGAGACAGGAAAGCTCCACCCAGGAGTCATAGTGGAGTCCAGTACAGCAGGTTGCTGCAGGTTGGAAAAACCCCAGTGTGCAGGTTAGCACATGACTGAGGCTGTCTGGAGGAACAGACAGTGGCATGAGGTCTGAGGCCGGAGCATCGGTGCTGCAAATGCAAAGCCAGGAGGCCGGATGGGCATGTGCTGCTAAAGAACCCCTGCGAGGGTAATTTGCTTTATGTTTGTGAACTTTCATTTAATAAAAGTGGGTAAAGAAGCCCTTAAAAGAAGATTTCTGCGAGTGGATGCGCTACTGTTTGGAGCTAATTCTCACATTATATTAAATGAAAATTAAATTAATTATATACATTTTATTCTGTATGAACTAGTACACTTACGTGGATATCTTCATGGTGTTTTATCTTCTTTTTTGCCTCTCTCCTGATATTATGGAAAATGTCCATATGACCTCATCGGCAACATCGAAACATCGGCAGAAAATCTGGACAATTTGGTGAAATATCAATGTTTCAGAGAAATGCATTAAAGTCAACTGGGGAATGGGAAATTGCGGTGGTTTTAGGGGGCGCACTGGGCTTTAGATGTCTTCTGAAAATAAAATGTAAACTATTCTGGACCAATTGTTATGCCCAAAAAATGACTTCTTATTAGCTGGGAAGGTATGTTAGATATTGAGGAGCAGAGATGGACCTTTCATATATGGTAAAGTAGACATGTGCGGTTCGTTTCGGAAACATTTTCGTTATTCGGAGATCCAGATGTATCCGAATTTCTGAAGAACAGAGATGACGAATGAGAACAAACTTGAATTTCCGAAAACTAAATTTTCTGACTTAATGTGTTAGTGGTAATCTACACGAATTTTCGTTTGTGGCCAAATTTTCGTTATAGCAAAGTGACATTAGAGAGAGGGAAAAAAACATTTTTATTTTAAAGGAGAACTGTGCAGTAAGTTTTTTTCTCCTAAGGGTTACAGGAGGACATATACTAACCTCTTCCTGTGAACCAAAGCTTGGTATATAGCGAGCTATAGCGAGCTACAGCTCGCGGTATACTGGAGACCGACGCAGCCGGAACGGATCCCGCCCCCTGTCCATCTGTACCCG